CATCCTTCTGTGAGATGAGCTCAGTAATTGGAGGCAGCAGTTTCCCAGAGATGGAAATGATATAAGGATCACTTTTCCTTCTCTTCCAGCTAACGCTCACAGCTGGACTCAGACACAATCCTTCAGTCCTTTATTACATATTCTGTATATGACATGTTGCATACAGACAGTCTCAGAGATCTTACGGCTCTTCAGCCTTGAAATGTCGGAGTTGCTCAACCAGCAGTTGCGTTATTGCAAACAGAAATCACAGCAAACAGCTGGTATCAGTGCGACGTTCCTGGTCTTAAAAAGCAGGACTCCCTGGCATTCATGCAGATGTTACTTTGACGTGAACGTGACAAGCGCAAAGTGTAAACCTGGCCTCTAAATCCTGCAGATACAAATCCAATCCAACATCGGCGGGAACAGTAACGGGAAAATGTAATGCCACCTTCCAGTGTTTTCCTCCAAGCACCTTAAGAACAGGTGAAGTCAAAACACTGGAGGTCCCACATCCAAGCCCTGAACAGTGAAAGCTTTTGTGGGGCAATATCAGGCAGCTGCTTTTAATGCTGTGGCCTTACTTACTACACTTTCTGTTCTTTGTAATCCTTAATGCATCATAGCAGCAGAACTGTACCTCGCTCAGTATTTCACTCATCTCCCGGGCAAAGTGGGTCTCTGTGGTTTCAGGCAGCTGAGCGTACAGAGGCGACATCATCTCCTTCCTCCCTTCATCTTTGTACTTTTTCTGTTGGAAACAAAGAATTCAAGTAAACAAGAGACACGCTGAGGTGAGCAATCGCAGGCAGCTCAGTCTGCGCAGGATTTACTTTTAAGGGAGTAGTTTTGTACTTTTTATATATTCATACAAATATATTCTCTTTATTCTCTTTAAATGTAACTTGTAAAGCAGTAAAAATAAGATTAGGGCAACAAAACAAAAGTTTACTTTGATTACACAAACATTATGTAGGTGTGAGTGATGGCTAATATTGATAACAAGTATGGAGAACCCAGAGCACTTTATACAACATGCCTCATTCATATAAACACTTTGTTTCCTTTGCTTAACTGCTTTCTATCAAACATTCACACACATTCATAATCCGATGGATGCATCGGAGCAACTTGGGGTTAATATCTTGCCCAAGGATGTTTGGCATGCAGTCAAGGATCGACTCACCGACCTTCCTATTAGTAGACGACGTGCTCTACCTGCTGAGCTTCAGCCAAAGCAAAGGCAGCAAGAAATATAGTTTAAAATAGCATTAATATCAATTTGACCTTCAGATAAATCTATCGAGCTTGAGGGAGAGGTCAGAGGTCAAATATGACATGATATTGTAAAACAGTGCTTTCTGTATGTTGGCACATACAGCACAGCTTTTTGCTCCTCAGTTTTCTACCAATAAATCCTTCAGCTGACCTTGAAGACGTTGGTGGATTTAAGGCAAATGTTAATGGATTGTTAACATGACCCAGACAAAGTTTCCAGGAGTTCAGAAGGTTTCGTGTTCACAGACAGAACGACGTCCTCAGCAGATGTAATATAAACAAACAACAAAACACTGCAAGAAATCTTCATCTCAGGCAACAGCTGAACTCCTCACTGGCTCCCAGCAGATAACAGCTGTTTACAGCTGTGCCAGAAATGATTGGAAAGAAAAAGCATGATCTTGATTTGCATTTAAAAAGGGGCTCGCTGGGTTACCTGCCAACTTTCCTGTTTTACAACTGGCACAAACGGATCACTTCACAGCTGTTTCTGTGCTGCTTTTAAAATTCCTCTGAAAAGTCTTTAAGCATCAGTTCAGCTGCATTTTACTTACTGGAAACAAAACTTTTGATACAGATAATAACAGAGATGACATAAGAGATACATCTCGATCCATGATTTCTTTCACAAAGCTTTCAGTTTCAGTTCATCTCTCATTATAAATGTTTTAGGTTCTTTCTTCTATACACATAAACCAAAAACACCATGTTCACCGTTATGCTGACGACACTCAGTTTTATCTACTTGTCACCTGTGACCTTCTACATTTGGGTGAAAACCCAACGTATTTGTATTAAATTATAGTGGAAATGGCAGTTTTGGAGCCTGAGCTCAAACAACATTAGCTCTGCTAAGTGTGAATCCAGTTTGAACGATAAATGAAAACCTTACAGTTCTTGCGGACGGAGGGCAGCTTTTACCAGACAAACCACCGATAAATTTAAACAGCTTTTATATCTTAAGCAAACTGTAGTTGATGCTGCTGTGACTTCCAGCCTGGAGTACATTTGGTTTGTCCAACTCTTTGGTTCAAAAGGCAGCTACTTGGCTTTTAATCGGTCCAGAGAAAAGACGACACATCACTTCAGTTTTAGCTCAGCTGCACTGGTTAGCTGTGGAATCAGGATTTATTTACATTTTATTTTTAAAGCTCTTCATGGATCATGTATGTTGCAGATCGAGTAACTCCACATTTTGCTGCCAGTTCACTGGAGTCATCCTCAGCAGTTTCCCTCAGTGACCCCCCCTCTAACCTAAAAACTGAGGGTGACAGGTCTTCTCTGTTCTTGCCTCCTGGCTCTGGATTAATCTGTCATCCCACATAAAGTCAAACAGCTGACAACTTTAAATCAGTTCCTGCTTCCAGTCAAGCCTGAGGTGCCTCACGGTTTGTATCAAGTGTATTTTTTTTACTTGTAGATTTGTTTAACGTAATAATTTTCTTATTTACGGTATTCCAACCATATTTATTCAGTGTTTTTTCCTTAGCTTCACTTCCACCCATCTATCCTGGAGTATCCCAGGTGTCACAGGATGAGAGTGGGATACACAGAGAGACAGAATCACCAACTAACCTCGACACGTCTTTGTCTATGTGAGGAACCTGGAGTACCTGATGAGATCGCACGCAGCTACAGCAAGAGCATGTAAAGGCCTCAGTTGGTCTGTGGATATGAATCATGTGTATGTGGCTTTTTTATTTTGTGCTTATAATCTCCTATACTTGGACTGGTGATATATTCTCCCCTAACTGGAACACACTTTGGGTTGCTGCCTGTTGTTTTGTGCTATATATGGAACTGCACTTGATGTAATCTTACAGTGCAATAAAATGAATAAGTGTTTTTCACCCAAGCTACCTCTGCAACACTTAGAAGTAACGCTTTCTCCAACCTAAACTTGAAAAGTGTGAAATAATGGAAAAGCAGACAGAGGTAGAGCGATGGTACCACACACAGCAGGATTCACTCACTTCACTCTGCAGTTCAGTCACTTCTTTGACGCGTTTGGTCTCCAGAGTTTCGGGCAGTTTGGAGTAAAGAGACGACGCCGCGTGCTGCTTACCTGCCTGCTTGTACTTCACCTGTCAAACAAACACACACTTTAAATCCCCACAGAATCACACTCTCACAACTTCATCCTGCCTCAAACTGTTTCCCAGCTACTCATGACTGGAAATATCTCATCCTTCACTGAGCAGTGTTATCAGCTCTGCAGGCGACTGGGAGGTGACGTAGCAACTACTGTGACATCACCAGCTGCATCCAATAGGATGAACTGTTTGACCTTGTGTAGCTAAGACGTGACATGAATGTGGGAAAACGGAAAGAGCTGATTGAATTCTGTTGGACTTCATTTACTGTTTTCTAGTTTACTTCTACTGGATGCTGATGATCGTTATTACCTGATAAATACAAAAGTTTAATGGGTTTAAACTGAGACTTTGTCCTTATGGCTGAGCTGTCCAACACGCTGCAGGCCTGCCTCAGCTCGGACTCTGATTGCACACATACCATACTAGTCTTTGATATGTTTTTCGTACATGCTTAAAAAACTTTTTTTGCCCTATTTTCAAACCTTTGTGCCATAATTTTCTACAATGACTTAATAAATACAGCCATTAGAAAAAGATCTGCTGTTGGTATTTCCTTTTTTAGTTTGATTGTAACCATCTGTGTCTCACTTGTCTCATTTTTTAACTTCCCTGATTGCTCTTTGTGTATAAATAGTCCTGTCTTCTCTTCGGTCTTTGTCTCTTTGTACTCCTGCAGTTTGATGGCTTGAGCCCAAATAAAGATTTAGTTCAACTCGTCAGCTTTGGTCTCCTGCTTTTAGACTTCAGTCAGTCTCAGCAAGGTGTGCAAATCTCATCCTTATCTCACCCTGATATTTCAGACATTCAAGAGGATTCACTCTGAGGAGAAAAATCTTTAAAGTCATGATGAGTGCAGCAGGTCAGTAAGCTCAGAGCTCTCACCTCGCTGTGTGTCTCAGCCATCTCTTTAACAAACTGAGTCTCCAGAGTTTCGGGCAGCAGCGAGTACAAAGTGTTGGGCAGATCCTCTTTGTCCTGTTTGTACTTTGCCTTCAAAGAGGAATAAACACAAATCAATGAACAGAAATAAGAGAACATTGAAATGCACAGGAGAATGAAAGATATCAGTGTGTGATGAGAGAGAACAGAGCCGCACCACGCTCTGGATCTCTGACATCTGCTTGGCAAACTGCATCTCTGGTGTTTCAGGCATGAGGTGGAAGAGTGAGGAGGACGTTTCCTTCTTACAGCCCTCCTTGTATTTCACCTGCACCACAAACCAAACAAACACATCTCTGTTAATGTGCAATAAAACACTTTGCTTTCTCCAGGCTCAGCGTTGCCCCCATCCTCAATTTCATAACTCCACTTTAAGTTCAGACATTTCTGTCTTCAGTTATTTTCAGCACAGCGAAAGTTTTCTTAACTTCGAGCAGTGATTAGAGGAAGTCTAGCTGAGTCAGCCTGACTAATGTCGTATTTTTGGAAAACCTTCCTCCTCCTCAGATAATAGGAGCTGCAGCAGAAACACTTTGTGACAGCTCGACAGGCACAGCATGAACTCGTGCACAGCAGGAAACCTTAAAGGTCACCAGGAACAACTGGACGTGCACTTCTATTCAGTCACATCATCAACAAGCACTGCAGGAAAATATGGACTGTATCATCTTAACGTTCACTTAGACTTTGAACTCATCTGTTATCCAGTGAGAAAGATTTCATGTTAAGTAAAATATCATTGAAATAGTTTCCCAAACTTTTTGTGCTTTTGCAGCAGCTTCAAATAAAACAGTGTTTGATTCAGAGGAACTTCAGAATGAGTGTTCACACAGATCAGATTAAAGAAAAGGCCGATTGGGAAAGTTTCAGACTCGGACTTGAAAAGGTTCCTGCTGAATAAAAGCCTCTGTGTTGAGGCACAGCAGTGGCTGGATGAGTGTTTGTCACCTGACTCTGCAGCTCCGTCACGTCTTTGGCCAGCTCAGTCTGCAGGGTTTGAGGAAGGCTGGAGAACAAAGTGGACGACAGCTCCTTCTGCCCGTCCTCTTTGTACTTCACCTGCAGGGTCAACAGAACTGTTTTTATGTTCTTTTATTTTCTTTTTACTTTTATTGAAAACGTAAACTGAGTAGTGAAAAGGCATTCAGGGTTTGAGTCAGGAGAGTTGTTAGACACACAGAAGAGAGCATGTTTATGAGGAGAAAGGACTGTGTCTGGCAGCAGGAGAGCACCGAGCTGCCACCATTCACATCCAGAGATGAAGGATGTGGTTTGCATTAAACTATTAAACTATTTCTTTATACTGAATAACTATGGCCTGACTGTTTTGTTCTAGTTTTAGCTGAAAATTGTTTCAAAATGAAAGCGATGCCAAAGTTGGAGACTTCACTGCACCATCTGCCAGCTTTGCCTGTCTTTCCATGAGGTTTGACAACTCATGGAAGGAGAGGGAGACTAAAACTGGTGACCTTTAACTCCTGAAACCTCCCATTTTTAAAATCCCACTAAGCTAACAGATCCAAACACTGACTGCGTAGCAGGGTATAATGGTAATGATAGCAGGAGGCGATGGATGTGACAGTTTAGAAAATAAAGTTCACCATGCAGCACACAGCGAGACAATGACAGTTTGCATGCAGATACGAGTAAATTACACAAAGATTTTTTTTGTATTTAAAAGAACAACTTGCCAGTAACTAGTCTGCACGGAAAGAAGACGTGTGGCAGCTCAAAACCACTTAGAAACCAAATAAACTGTCAGTCAAATGTTTGGTACTTCAAAAAATGAAAGACGTTTGACTTCTTAATTGCATTCAATAATTCTCACTTTGTAAGACACGGTCTGAGTGAACTTTTATTGTACATGGACACAACTACCACAAGCATAACATATAAGACACAGATGTCCCTCATTCTTCTGTCCCTTTTCTCTTTTTTTATTATTTTTTAAAGCTATTTTAAGGGTTTAAAATTGCAAAGAGTCTTGTAGGATTATAAACCTGTTTTGTGGATTTCTCAAAGTTGATTGGTTAGATTAGTGGGATATAAAATGGACAAGGAGAGCAAAAGGTCCAGAGTTTGAGTCACCGTGGGTCACATTTTGCTTGTTTTACACATTTCATTGAAGAAAGAGCAGAAGGATTCCCAGCTGCTATTCTGCAAATGGTCTCCAACATCAGCACAGCTTTCATTTTTGAACTATTTTCAGCCATCACTATGTTGATAGAAATTCAAAATGTTTACAGTTTAAGCCTTTTTATGCAAATACATGTGAAAACATGAACACCAGGCTTTTATGATACAACAGTTAACTTAAAGTGTGTTGATTAAAAACTTGACGGTCCTCCGTTAGGCTTGGCAAGCCGCTGGACTTTAATAAACTGAAGGAATCTCTGGTGTGTCTTACCTCCTGACAATATGTTTCTTATCTCGTAAAAACAGCAAACAGTACCTGGCTCTGTATCTGTGAGGCCTGCTTGGCGTGTTGAGTTTGCAGAGTTTCGGGCATCACAGAGTACAAACTGCTGCCGGTCTCCTGCCTCCCTGACTTCTTATACTTTGTCTGAAGATCACATAAAGAATAAGATCAGTTTCTTTACTGCTTTATTGGTTTGAGCTGTCGAACATCTAAATCTGCAGCATAAACATTCACATTCTCAGTCCCAACGTTACTAAATTAGCTTCATCATGTTTGTCCAAATTAATTCAGGCTTTCACTCAAGAGCAGCTTTATGTAACACTTACAGCTTCTTTCTATCTTTCATCAACACATTTAAGTGTTTTTGATCATCCTCTCAAGTTTCCTTCATCTCACCTCGCTCTGCAGCTCAGACACCGTTTTAGCAAACTTTGTCTCAGCGGTTTCAGGCAGCTGAGAGTAGAAACTCTGAGACATGCTCTTCATCCCCTCCTTGTACTTTTTCTACAATCAAAACAGAAAACAGGATCTGTAACATGGGATTAAGAAAAATAGCTTTAGAAATGTATCTAAAGAAATTATTGGAAGACACATCAACTTCTGACCAATCAGAGCCTTCTTTCTTCTTCATTGCCATTTTATTCAAAATAATTTGCTTAACACTGTCAGTATTTAACTGTGCTGCTTCCGTTCTGTCCTCCTGATTACACACTGAGGACTTGGCTGTAAAGTACGATGAGTGAAACAGCACCCCTCTAAATGCCACACAGTGAGTCCAATACTCCCACAGGTCTGCAGTGGGCCGAGTTGGCTTTCCTTGATTAAAAGAAATAAAGTAAGGCTGAAGTCATACCAATACCACACTGGGATTAGTCAGAGTTATGCTGGGGAAGCCAATCATCACTCCACTCGAATCACAGTGTGAACGTCACTGAATAACTGTTAGTCATTTCATCCTGCAAAGCTACCAACTGAAGTGTGGATGGGGGAGTTTATTGTTTATTAAATAGTTAACTAAACTAAACTAATGACTTATTTTACCATCTACTGAGCTCATCACATCAGCAGTGCTTAGTTGTCTGCATATGTCTTCACTTAAGTAATAGTTTCATCATGATCACACACAGCGGGGACAGCAGTCACAGGGTTTGTACCTCATGTTTAATACATGCAGGTTATTGATACTTCATGACATGATGTCTGATTACGTTTTGAATTAATGCTTCTTTCAGTCGTTATTAGAGTAAGTACTATTGTGGTTAGTTAACAAGAGATGCACCAGACCTGCATGTGTAAGGCATAATTTTATGTATTATGACAGCTTTAAGAATTGAATCTGCAGGTTGGTCTAAAGCAGCCGTGTTTCTCTGCACCTACTTGGCTTTGCAGGTCGGTGACCTCTCGGGCAAACTGGGTCTCCAGAGTATCAGGGAGCAGGTGGTAAACTGGACATGACAAGTACTTCTTCACAGCCTCTTTATATGAGACCTACATGACACAGAGGAGACAAAATATAGACTTTCACAAATAAACTTTCATGATTTTTTTGTGCACCATTTTTAAAGTAAGCGTTACCACCACATGCTTCTTCTCAGTTTGCTAGTTTGGATCTAGCTTCATGGTTGAAAGTTCATGTTAACAAAAGTTTTTAGACTTTTGTTAACAGTTTTTAGTCATATTCCTGCATACCTGACTCTGTAGCTGGGAAGCCTCTTTAGCGTGCTGTGTCTCCAGAGTTTCAGGTAGTCGGTGGTACAGAGATGTCGATGTGTCCTTCTTACTGGCCTTTTTGTATTTTGCCTGAAAGACACAATTTGCACTGGAGATTTAAGTGCAGTTAGCACTAAAACAATCAGTAATGTGCAGTTAACTCTACACCGAGGTTCCTACCTACCAGAGAAACATAAAGACTATGAAAATGTATACAAATTATGTTTTGCTTTTCCACTTTCTTGAAGGTAGTGTTAGCCTAAATTAGAGGGCGACTGGCTGATATGGGGAGAATTCATGTGGGCGTTTGAACCTAAAAAATCTTGTGACAGTTGGGGGCTTATCCGGGATATGTTTGTAGAATTAGTTGCATCACTGTTAATAACCAACCTGGTTTGGTAACCAGGTTTGTTAAGCAAATAATAAATAGAGCTAAATATCTATATTTATTATTTGCTTAGCATTTGCTTAAAGCTACAAATATAGCTTTTTATTTGGATACAGGCTGAGATGCCAGTTTTAGACTGATTATAATAAATTCCTGTAAATTACACTGACTATTTTAATTCTCCAGATGACGGTCATAAATACCTCCTCAGTGCCTTAATGAAATACATACAATTCTGGTTCCTTCCTATATTATTATCTATAAATGTAAGAAATGCTGAAATAGGTCCCGAACATTTTGAATTGTAGTATATAAAACCAGACACTCGTGGTCTGACGTGCATTTACCTTAAAGTTGATCTATGACTTATTTGGCCTATTTTATAGGAGCCAGACGTCATGAGAGCTCATGCATCTTGACTGAACTCAGTATTTAATTCAGCTAGAAATTGCAAATATAAAAGAAATTGTAAATATCACCACAATCTTACATTTAATCATATTTCTATAAAATCAGCATCATCTCTGGGTTATTCTATGAGACCCGACTGCACTTTGGATATTCAGAGCACTCACCTCGCTCTGCATCTCCGTCAGCTCTTTAGCGTGCTGGGTGTCGAGGGTGTCGGGGAGCAGAGAGTACAAGTTGAAACTCATCTCTTTCATATCTTCTTTGTACTTGACCTTGTAATGAAGCAAAGCAGAGCCAGCAGGATGAGAACAAAGAGTTCTTCATTCACACAGATATTTTTTATTATTACAGCAGGATCACATCATACAGACTTCTTGTCTATACAGGTCACGTTTTATTTGAAAGCTTACTGAACTGATCACATAATAAATCTGGAGACTGAATTCTCTGTTGAAGGGGAGACAAACGGACTCGCATACCAGAGCTGATCGAGGTACTTTGTTCATTTGATGATGAAAAACATTTCTACCTAAGAGCAGGTAGAAATCGTACCTCACTCAGCATCTCTGTCTGCTGACGAACAAACTGTGTGTCGTTGGTTTCTGGCATCAGGTGGTAAAGGCTGGGCCCATCTTTCTTTAAAGGCTGCTTGTACTTCAGCTAGAACAGATGTAGAAGAACATTATTTACGATGTCTTTAATCGCTTTAATAAGTACATCCATATCCTTTTCTGCACAGGAATCCAGTTACTACTTAATAGTAAAAGTTCCTCAAAGTTTGCACCATGTGGGAAAAGCAATTCCTCTGTTTATATATACTGGTTTGGACCCTATGACTAAATGTATTGATACCTCTGAGACATGGCTGATGAGTGAATTGAGGTACCTGACTCTGCAGCTCAGAAGCCTCTTTAGCGTGCTGCGTCTCCAGAGTCTCAGGTAGAGTTGAATAGAGGGTGCTTGACACGCCCTTCTTTCCTGCTTCTTTGTACTTCATCTTAACAAAAAAGAAGAATGAATAAACAAAATATAGGGCAGATTTCTCCAAATATACATATCTTTCCAAAAAAGCTCCGTCTCCATCTCTGTCCTGTGCAACTACATTTATTTTGTCATTTTAACCACTGAACAAAATGTGAATCAAATAAAAGAGTGAGTGAAACAGAGTTTTGTTCCATCTGCATAGATGTAATACGTTATTATCTTGTAAACCACACATTTAAACATTTGGACATAATTTGCAAGGACCCCTGGGAAGATAATGCAGATAATGTTTGTAGAGACATTTACCTCGCTCTGCAGCCCAGAAACTGTTTTTGCAAACTGAGTCTCAATGGTTTCTGGGAGCTGTGAGTAAAAACTTTGAGAGAGGTTTCTCTTCATAGCCTCCTTGTACTTGTTCTGGAAAAGATGGACAAGTAATGTAAAATATCCTGAAGGGTTTTAAAAGGACTGAATGCTGCACAACCAGCCTTAAGCTATGTTGGAGAAATATTCCGCTTCCAGGTCATAGTCATGTAAACACTACTGTGATATTCTGTCATAAATCTAAGACACGTAGAATATTCTGACACTGATAAAGTTTTGTGAACACGTATGCAGCACATTTAGAATATGTATTTTACATGGATTTGCAACACATACGTGAAAATCCACATACTGTATACAGCCTACAGCTGCTCACAAACCAACCAGTCTGTTGTTTGCAAGAAAAGGTATTAAAAACACGTCCCACAGTCCTTTGACACCCACATATACGGTCAAGATTTTTCAGAAGGTGGTTGAAGGAATAATAAACAGGCTGTTTTTGCACAGTCAAACAAGTCTGCCAACAGTAAAAAGCAGAGAAAATGGCCCAAACACCAACACTTTTTCACATTTAAATGCGATCATGTACATGTTAGAGGATCGTTAATGGTGAAAAACTCAGTTTTATTAGCTGTGTAACTAACTTAGTGGAAATAATGACTTTTTTGAAACTGTAATAAGTGAGAGGCAAAAATGTCACTTTTATCTGAATCCTTAAAAACAAATGTTTCCCATCTTTCGTTGCTTACAGATCAGATATTGTTATTAACTCCTCTCCAGTACGTGCTGCGAACAGCCTGCGATGCTTTGATCCTGTTTCTGATGCTAATCTGCCCTCTGATGAGCGTCTAAGGTAGAAGCATCAGAGAGCGGTGAATAATCTGGGTAGTGATTATTTATAACTAATCAAAGGGCATTCTTACTGCAGCTCTCTCTGCATTTCCCTATTTTTGCTCTCAGTTCTCAGTTGAAGCACAGCCTGGATCCCTCCTGCATGTTGAAGCGCTGCTGTTTATTCGATCTCTCTCCAAAATGTCAGGCAAACAAATGACGAAACAGCATATTTGACCTAATCTCACACAAGACTTTAAGATCGGGACGTTGTTTCGGACGATGACTTTCATGTAATGATAACCTGGAAACCAGCGAACGGGCTAACGATGACGTTTAAATCTGCGCATCAAGTATATTAAAACCAGGTAACTATAGCAACAGTACTGATGTGTCACGTTCCCATCCATTATCCAAACCCATCATTGATTTTTCAGTAAAAAGTGCATTTTCAAGTGTGGAGAAATCAACATCTTGTGCTCTACAGTGAGTATTTGTGGCATGTTGGACTGAGTCACACTAAACGTTCTGACATGTAACAGGAAACACGTCAGCCTGTGCAGCAGCACGCGTCACTCTCATGTTTTTAAAAGCGTTTGGTGGGGAAGCACAAAGAACATCTTCTACTCTAATTTAGTTTGTTCTCTTATTTTCAGGAAAACAGAGAAATCCTTTTTATACAAACTAAATGAGCAGTTTTGAAGTCTCACAGCTTCTTTTTAGCCAAAATGTGCAGCCGAACTCTGTTGCCGTCAGCTCTGGGCAGTAAAATGTTTGCTCTATTGCTGCAACACAAACGTTTTTATCTTGTTTCCTGTTTTGATGACTTTCCGTCATGTTTCTCTTCTGAAGTGGTTTTAGATTCTGCTCTGGTCATCAACAGGTGACTGTGGGATACTTTGATGTTTTATTTACCTCGCTCAGCACGTCGCTCATCTCTCTGGCAAAGCTGGTTTCTGAAGTGTCGGGTAGAGTGGCGTACAGCGAGCTGGACATCTCCTTCTTCCCGCTCTCTTTGTATTTTACCTGTGGAGCCAAAAATGTTTATCATGCTGCATACTTTTACTCTCTGACAGTTTAGCTTGAATTGCCGTGTGCTGGTCGCACTTGTTGGGTTTCTTCTTTGTACTTCTTTGTTTCTGTCACGCTCATTCCTTCCTGCCATCTGTTCTCTTCCCTGTCTTCATGTTTGCCCATCGTCACATATGAATCTTTTATTTGCTCCTAATCATCCCTCTGTGGATAACTAGTCGTCAGGTAATACTACAAGAAAACAACACATTACCTCACTCAGCAGCTCTGCAGCTTCTTTCGCGTGCTGCGTGTCCATGGTGTGAGGCAGGAGGGAGTACAGGCAGGCGGTCGCCTCCTTTTTACCAGCCTCCTTGTACTTGGTCTGCAATTTCAAATGAACCGTTAGCATCAGTGGTGGCTTGTGCATCACTCTCTGCAGCCTGTAGTTACTGTTTTACCCCACATGGAGCTAATCTTTGCCATGCATATGCTACGCTGCTGCCCGGACAGGTTGAGTAGTTATCTTGGTGCACGTCACACACAAAGCACAACAGTTGAACATGGAAACAACAGAATTAGTTTTAATGCTGCCTGCTGTTTACCGGTGTTTTAAGACATTTGCACATTAGGAGTAGATTCTGAACAGATTGTTATTTATGGATTTTGTTGGGTTTCCCCAAAGTTTGATTCTGTTCATCTGGACGTTTTCAGTGGGAGAAACGTTTCACTCATCTAAGTGACTTCTTCAGTCTCAGCTGACTGCAGGTTGCAAAAGAGTCAACACTGGCCTGAGGGAGGGGATTTAAAGCTACACTGAATAATAAAATAATAACTTATTCTTGATAACAAACAGGCACAAATTTCAAGCCTTTCCTGTTTGAGTGCCGACCTCACTCTGCAGCTCAGACAGCTGTTTGGCCAGCTGTGTCTCTGTGGTCTCTGGGAGCCGATGGTACAAACTGCTCTGAATCTTCTGCTTCAGACCTTCTTTATATTTCACCTGCAGGAGATGAAGAAGAAACACACGTTTTCATTTTTTGTCCAGATTTCAATGGATTCGATTTTTTTGTATTATTTAACAAACTGAGGCCAGACGTCTGTTTCGTGGTTTACTCCACACTTCAACTCACTGGACTTCAGATCACACAAAGATCTGCAGTCTTCTATGTTCAAACATTCATTTCCCTCATTTTTTTATTTGGTGTGAAACACTTTGTAATATTTATCCTGATAAATAAAATCGCACCTACTTTCTTATTCCTACTTTTCTCTGTCTCATAAAATATTATGTGCACTCTTTTTTTAATTCGGAGTACTGCATACACAGGTTGTTTATCTCGACTGATGATGGAAAGAAAAAGCCATTAAAATGGGATTAAAGTACCTCACTCTGCAGGTTCGACACCTCTTTGGCGTGCTGTGTGTCGATGGTCTCGGGCAGCAGAGAGTACAGGTTGATGTTCATCTCCTTCTTACCGTCTTCTTTATATTTCACCTAGAAAAAACATTTGATTTAATCGGCAGCTTCTGCCCTCTAAAGTAATTCTTGTTTTTTTTCTCTTCTATTTGCGTTACCTCACTGAGCAGCTCGGAGACTTCTTTAGCGTGAGCCGTCTCTAACGTCTCTGGCAGGAGGTGGAAGAGGCTGCAGGAAAGAGTTTTCTTCTGGTCGGCCTTGTAGTTCAGCTGAGCACAAACAGGATCACATGCAGAGTATCAAACTGTCAGTGATGGTGAGCAAACTTCTAACATTGAACACTGTTCCTCAGGGTTCCACATCTGTCTGCCCAATGATATGAACTATTCAAACCAGCTAACTGAACTCCTGCAACCTTTAGGATCCAACAAACACAAAATTTAACGACTATTTTATTCATTTTTATTTCATTTGAACTCATAACTGTATTTGAATTAATCAGCTGTTTTAAGTATCGTGTACGCCTGCTCTGCCTCAGTGCTATTTACTGTAAATCCAAATATCTGTATGTACTGATAGATGTGTATGTTTAGTCTACAATCACAGCAGTGAAGGGTTTTACCTCGCTCCGCACTTCAGAGGCTTCTTTGGCGTGCAGCGTCTCCAGAGTCTGCGGCAGGGTGGAGTACAGAGAGCTCGACACGTCTTTCTTCCCCTTTTTGTACTTCATCTGAAAATAATTTGATGAAATTACACTTTTGATTTTATAACAGTTCAAGGAACAGACTTTGACAGTAATTCATTAAACACGACCTCAGTGGCCTTTCACAGTTTGCATCTTCTATAGTTAAACTGACTTTTTGAATCTCTGTGATCTGCATCAGTGGGTTAAGTTCAGTTTAATGTTAAATTCACAAAAATATTAAAATGTCAACGTCCACAATATCAAATAAACACTCTGTATATTTCCTATAGTGGTTTCTAGGCTCATGCTGTTTAAAGTCACTTCTAATGCAACGGTTCTTCCTGCTGTTGTTTCACATTAAAATACTTCAAATGGAAAAATACAAGATGGCTTTTATTTTGAAAGCTTCATGAGGTGGACAGACAAAAATAATATTGATATTGAGAGTTGAACTTTTTCTTTACTGTGTTGTCTGTTAGTGTGATTAACACAGACTGATGAGGAATTATCATAAACACAAACATTGTTTTCTCTTCTTCTGTGTTTGTGACGCTGCTTTGGGAGGAAGAATAATTGTATTTTTAACTGTGACAAAACTGAAATGTTAAAAATGTTCATTTTGCTGCTTTAGAATCTGTTGTAAATGTTTCATTTCTGCTACTTCAAGAGGAAGAAGTTGTTTTCTGCCGCGAATCAGCTGAAAACATTTCCCATAAAGACACCTGCTCCTCACCTCGCTCTGCAGCGCAGCAACATTTTTGGCAAACTGCATCTCGGCGGTCTCTGGTAGCTGACTGTAGGCACTCTTAGACAGGCTCTTCATCCCGCTCTCTTTGTATTTAACCTGTTAAAAGACAGCACATCAAAAACAGGAAGAGTTACTTCCTTCTCTTCAGTGATGAACTCTTCAGATCTATTAGATATAAAGGACTCGAGCATCTGTAAGGCATACGGATTAGCCACACTTCTCTCTGTATTTATTTCTCTTTGTTGTCGTTTGCTTTTTCATCACTTGTGTTAAATGAACGCATATTTGTGCTTTCACAGATCAATAGTGACAGCGAGCCGAGCCTCGGCAGTGCAGACTGTATCTGTAATGCTAATTAAATGCAGCAGTGCAGATAAACCAACTAACGGTGAGCTGACACGAGTTTCTGTGCAGGAACAGGAGACCTGATGCTGCTCCTGTTTCAGCCTCTTTACATGACGTCCTGTTTATTTTACGATTCACTGACTGCTGCTGAGATAAGTCTTTGATAAACCTTTGACCTGTGCCCGCCGTAACGTGATCAGCTACGTCGGCCCCCGTGCTTTCATCAGAGCTGATGTTACTGTGAGTATGCCTTTTTAGATGCTTCTTTAACTTTTCCTGCATTAAATCCTATAAGTCAGTTTTTCTCAGTCGTTTTTCAACCTGATGGTTTTTATGAGATTTGCTTTAATTTCCTGCCCAGTCAGGCTCATTGTCATTAATTACAGATGATAATAACTGTGATTACTGAAGTTAAAAACACACCAAACTAATTAAACTTCTAGTCTGAGCCCCTGATTTGGTAAAAACACGAGTTTTAGCATCTTAATTATTACTCAGACTTTATTTCCTTCAGTTTTACTTCTGTGAAATCTCATTGTGTTCTTCGCTTTTGCTCTCATTGTCGGGTGTTTTCTGCAGGAACCTCCGGCGAGCTTCCTGTGACGTCTTCATTTTCTGTGTTTCTAAACGATCGGCTTTCCTCTCTCTGCTGTTTCTCAGCAGCCTCAGCTGCAGAGTTTTCCCTCCATCACTCTCACTCTAGTGCATAGAGTGATGGGCGTCTACACTAAATGCTTTAAAGGTGTGGCCTTATTATTTAAATTATGCTGACATGTGCATTTTTATAAATAAATCTGTATTGAACTGCAATTAACTGAATGCTTCATATTTCTATGATTCACAGTTCAAAATAATCCTTTTTTCTCTGATACTGGGCTTTTTGTGGGAGGCCCTCCGGAGCAAACCTCCCTCTGATTGGCTGCCCTTTGTAAACAGAGGGTTTGCACAGCAGGTGGGTGGGGCTTCTGTGCTCACAGCTGACAACACATGGGCCAAAAGATTAAAAAAGAAAAAAACAGCCTGAAACTGGGTGTTTAGAGCTTTCTGAACTTTGACCTTTGACACACTGACCTCTCTCACCTAACTTGAACCTGTGAGCAGGCTAAGCATGAACATCCACCACTGTGCGTGTGACAGAAATTCACATGAAAGCATGAAAAGTCCACGTGAACAAATCAAGCAGTTTCTGAGATTCTGCAGACAAACAACTGTCACATCACTGTTTTTGTTTTTAGGTTATTTTTCAGTGTGATGAGACTCAGGTTCATAATCAGAGTTTGTTAAAAAAGAAAAGAAGAAGAAGAAAAGCTCAACCTCCCCAAAACGACATGCTTTATCATAACTGATGGGAGACTGGAGCAGAGGTCATGACATCACATTTACCTCGCTCAGCATGTCGCTCATCTCTCTGGCGAAGCTGGTTTCTGAAGTGGCGGGCAGAGTGGAGTACAGCGAGCTGGACATCTCCTTCTTCCCACCCTCCTTATATTTAATCTGGTTAAATCCACAACAGGAAACACGAATAATCTTCACTCGTTGGATCTATTTTCTCATGTCAGAGCAACACAAACTGAAAGGCTGCTCTCACCTCACTGAGCAGCTCTGCGGCCTCTTTAGCGTGTTGTGTCTCCAGAGTTTCAGGCAGCAGAGAATACAGGCATTCGCTCGCCTTCTTCCTTCC